GCAACCCAACCTTGCACCACAAACACCCGAAGTCTAAGCTGTAGCAGTTAGGCAGTCTTCACCAGAAGCCCAAGGAGATGAATGGCAGAATCTTGACAACTCAACAATAGTAGAGTTATAATGCTTTTATTGGAGCTAGCTAACCTTACTGTTTGAAATTTTCTTTAAAGTAACAAGCAAGATGTTTGATGAAATGATCTGTGAAGTTCGTTATAGGAGCCTCTTCACACGCCCTCGTTATCACAAATTCATGCCTCCACCATCACAACTAAGCAAGTTATATATGGTTTAGGGTTTACATTAAACCCTGAACACTTTTGATAAACCTTTTAGGCCCATCACGGTCCATCACAAATATTGTCTCAACCAAACCACCTATTACTAGGTGTTTGGTTTTATCACAAAATGTTTCGGTGATATTAAGGGTGAAAACTCTCATATATTACTCGTATATTATTTTGTCATGATCAATGTTGGATCCTATTCTCCAACATGTCGGCCTCCTCATAAGCAGCCTCACACAAGGTCACAAGGGAAACCAATTCGCACATCTGGAACTGGTCAAGTCATTATACTGAAGCTAACACAATTTTTCGAGAGAGCCTAGACATCATTAAGGGACTAAAGCCAATGCAACTTTTTGAAGGCCTAGTCATTTAATATCCTTAAGTAGTTAAGCTAGAGCTAGCGCAACTTTTCGAAAGCCAACTTAAGGAGGCAAATTCGAACCCAGTAAATCAGGCTAAGAAGTGTCAAAAGAATAACCTCCTCTGATACATGATAAATTTTTTAGGCCCATCATGGTCCACCACTAATATCACTAATATTGTCCAAACTTAACCACCTATTAGTAGGTATTAGGTTTTATCATAAAATGTCTCGATGATATTAGGGGTGAAAACTCTCATATGTTAATTGTATATTATTTTGTCATATGACCGATATAAGATCTTATTCTCCAACAACTTCACACTTACAATTACGAGTACCAGCGCAACCATATACCATTATATACCTTACAACAAAATCACAAAAAACACATCCAGGTCAGATTGCAACATGCATTACAATTGGATTTTATCGATCTGTCGGGTCCTTGCAGCTAGCTCAGATTGAAACCCTGAAACCAGTCATGTTTCAGTTTCAGCCAGTACCATCCTGATAAGGTTGCCCTAGACTGCCACTCAATTACTTGATGCTACAAAACATGATCCATGCAAATAGCTAACAAGGCCAAAAAACATCAAAGTCAGCCACTATATATATATGTAATACAGTAAATAATTCAAAGGTTGATCAAGTTGAGTGGAAGATATACAGATAGATATGATATAGTTGTTGTGATCTGATCAAAAGTGGGCCAAACTTTTTCTACTTTCTGCATATAATGCTTTCACATCCCTTTTGCCTCTGTGTTGTGTATTTCTGTAGTCCTACACCACATGTTGCCTGGAAAATAACACAAGGGAAATAAAGCCAGAGATGATTAGTTGAACGCATGTGAAGAAACCATAATTTTTGTGTCCTTTTCATCTTCTATTTCTTTAATCATTATGGTATCCCAAACATTTCTACAAGAGCAGGCGAAAAGTTAAATGGTAGACTTGTTTTCCGGTTTTAAAACAGTACATTAAGTTTATAGGTTGAGTGATTGAGTACACGCCTCAAGTCTATAACGCTCAAATCTTCACTTTCTGATGATCAAAGGAAAACAAAATTATATCTCCCTGAAACTATTTAAGTATTGTGTAAGTTGATGATGGTTATGTCGTGTTGGTATAATTATTTATGTAATTGTGACATTAAGACTAATAAGTAGGCTGTGCCGTTTAAATATTCATGATAGGCATGATTATTTTGATTATTTTAATTACTTTAATGGGATTAATGGATTAGAACAAGCAAGTGCCATATAAAGCCAGAAGAGCATCGGCTTCGTTCAATTTAATTACGTTGGCTGATACCGACTAGGGTGTCGATATCACATACCTCAATCATATTAAGGGTACCATGTACTTATCATATTCTCTTTGATAAATTAACATATTAGCTAGTCCTAATCTGTATTATTCATTAGTCAAATGTGTTGGCTATAAGCTTCACCAAATATATCCTATGTGAAGTGGTTTTCTGGGCAAATTTTTAAGTCTCAAACTTAAAGGATTGGTGTAAAACACATTGTCAACTTAATACCAGAAGAATGTTACGATCAACCCACTCACTTATGTATCTTATTATTCCTAATTTTAATGATATTCTATTATAAAAAGGAAGGGAGATATTTTACTTTGAGAGCAGCTTCAATGGTGACCTAAAAGCTCAGAGAATTGGGTTGCTTTGCCTCCAACCTCCAAAACCCACGTCCAACGGGCCAAAAAATGAAGGGCTATTGCTGGGCTCCACCAAGCTTATTGAGCTGCCCAACCATCTCATGTTAAGCCTTGGGCTTGTTGGCAAGAAGCGACGTCATCATGACATCAGAGAGCAAACATGGGGCCCACCATGTGTTTCTCCGCTGTTGGATTTCCAACAGTTTTCACATCTTGATTGTTTGATTTCGAACGATAATCTTTTTTTCTTGGAAATTATAGATTTGTGTCACCTGACACAATCTAGCCCATCTGAATTTAAAAAAAATTAGAAATCAACAATCATGATTAATCCAAAGGTAAAACAATCCAACAAAATACCAAAAAATTTCATTTTTTAAACAACACACTTAACAAACTTACAAAGATCAACCATGTTCTTCATTCGCCTTTCATTTTTAATTACTTATGTTTGTTTGTAATGCTATGCTTTGTATTTAAAATTTAATTATCAAAGTTAAATTGAGAGTTTTATTTTCAAAGAAAAAACTTACTAAGTAGTAAGTATAAACTTACAAGGCATAACAAAAAAAATATATATATATATATATATATATATACACACATATATTTGTAAGTAGTAGTCACCTTTGCCCTTGCTCTTCTCAAATGGGTGGACTTGCCCAAACACAATTACTGTTCAGAGCAATTTTACTGCCCTTGCACTCCTAAAATGGGTGGACTTGCTCTAAGAAGATAGGGGTTGGGTTAGGCCACACAACTTGATATCAAATTCAACATAAATACAATATGCACCGTTATTCTTGTGAATCAAACTTGAGACATTTTACTTACAAGTGAAGATAATTATCAATAGACCATAATACTAGCTAGTTAGTTAATTCTAACTAGTAAATCAACTTGTGCGCATATGTGACTGACCTCAACACTACTATAGTAGTGTTAACTTTTTATACAATTAGTTAAACCAAACCCCATAAAGTTTATGGTGTTTTTACAAAACCTCTTCATGTTTAAGAAATCACACTATCAACTCATGAGTTCAGAATAATTTCTCAAACATGTCTATAATAACTATAAAAAGTTGACAAAGCACCACGATCAGAATCAGCTCATGCACACTTGTATAGAGTGGTTAACACTCATCGATTAGCATAACTGTCTTAGTAGTAATTGCCTTTGGATTGCTCTTACTATTCACTCTATATAGTGATTAACACTCTATACTCACTTTCCTCGTCCTTGTCCTCACCCTCGCCCTCGCCTGCATATGTCAACACTCATTATATCACTCGCCCTTAGTAGTTATGAATGTTCTACAATTGTAATTAGTATTTTAAAATAAAAGAACAATAATTGAAATTACTAAAAGCTCATTAGGCGACTTAATTAACAGAAAGTTCCCATTCAAACGGAAAAAAAAATAACCTCCCATGAATTTCTCCATTTCTGAATCTAGATTAGATTCACAGGATCACTTTTTTTTTGTTTTGTTTTTCACTCAAACAACAATATTTTGTGTATCCTCCTTTTGAACAGGTCGTACCCGATCAACAAAACTTTATGTTACTATTTTACCCCTGCTCTTTGTTTTACTATCCAACTAATTTTTCTTTGTTAATTTTAATCTCAAATAAAAAAACATATTGATATGCAATCCAACATCTCTTATTTCACACTACACTATTTCAGATTTCTATTCTGTGCTATATGTTTTGGATTCAATTTTTAGCACTTGTGAATTACACGATAGTGATTAGAAGAAGTTACCGACTTTCAAAATGATGAATTGTCATGACGAAATCACTGGTTAAATTGCATTATTGGAGTAATACAAATTGGCTTTTGTGCTGATTTTAATATTACAAAGTACAGTTACAAATTCATTACTTTTTGTAAAAAAAGTTTCTTCAAAAAGAAAATAAAAAAGGGAAAAAACCCAACCACCAATCACGGAGAGGTGAACTGGGTCTTTAAATAGGGACCCACGTATCGCCACATAGGATTTCTGCACATGATGACGCAGGTCCCACATCAAGTTAGTAATCTAAAGTGCACTCAGTCCTGCGGTTACGATTTCACTATTTATCCACAAACACCAACGCCTGGAGAAAAACAAACTGTAACTAGCTGCCACATGCCACGTGGCGAGCATGCATACGGAGATTAGATTTTCGCACCCCAAACTCCAACGCCGAGATTAAATCTAGACCGCTGATTGTCCTCAAGGTGGGGCCCATTTCTACTTGCATGTCAGCCACCAACTCTGGCGACAGGACAAGAAGACAAAACAGAACGTACGGGGTCCCACGTGGGTCTCTGTACACCCACATCGGTATTTCCGAAAATTTGTTTTTAATTTTTAAAAAATTAGTTGGGGAAACAAAAAGAAAAAAAAATTAACTGAATGGACTATTTCAATATACATGGAGGACAATTTGGGGATTTCAGTTGGAGTCTGTTTCGAAAATCCAGGCTCATTTTCCATAAATTCCCGCAAATTTCTGTAACGACATGTTCCACTACACCCTGTAATTTAAAAAAAATTTAAATTAAACATATTTTTTCATAAAAATTCAGCAAAACAGAGAAGAAGAAGAAGACACCATTAGGATAAGAGTGAGATGCAGTAAGAGAGAGAAAGAAAAGAGAGAGAGAGAGAGAGAGAGAGTACAGAGACAGAGTGGTGGTGTTTTATATTTTTTTAATTAATTATTAAAAAAATGAAATTGTAGTGTTTTTTTTTTTTGTTGTATATATATTTATATAGTTTGCTGATTTTGAACCAAAGACAAGGCCCCTCTCTCTTGTATTCTATCCCTTCTGTCAGTTTGCTTTTCTTAAGAATGTGTCCTTTCTGTTTCAGAGAAGAACTGGAACATAATTGCAGAAGAAGAAGATAAAAATAGCAAGAGAAAACACCACCTAGAGAGAGAAAGAGAGGAGAGAGAGAGGAGGAGGAGGAGGAGGAGGGAGTGAGCAGAAGAATCAAATAATCTATGGCTGCTATGGAGGAGGAGGTGGATTACTGGTGGTGGTTCCTTTGACTTCGGTGGTTTCATCTTCTTCTCAAAAGGTTTGGTGGGTTTGTTTGTTTAGATCTTTTTTTTTTTTTGCTCGTTAATGGTTGCATACTTACCATTTCTTGCTGTTTTTGCTCCTTTTGTATGCTTAATTATGGCCAAAGTTTTGGCCTTTTGACTTGGGTTTTTCTATAACTGCATATCAAAATAAAAAATGAAAAATATTGATAGCAACTTCAATCCTGTAATTTTATTTTATTTTTTGAATTTCTGTGTTGCTTCAACTTCTGGTATGGTTTTTATGTTTCTGAAAATTTTGATGCAGGCAAAGGGTGTTGGTTTTTACTTGAGTTCTGTGATTGTTGCTTGGAAATTAAAAACCTATTTTTTGCCTATTTTTATTATTTATTTTAGAATAAAATTGAAATGGTCGGGTTCTCTTCTGGCTGCAAAGCATATGAAAATTTGACAAAAGATGTTTTCTGGGTTTTATTTGACCTTCAAATCTGAACAAAATTCACAACCACTGCAGTTTTTTTTTTCAAAAGTTGAAACCTTCACCTTCTTCTCCTTCATGTTTTGTTTTTTTTTTTGTTGTCAAGAGAAAAAATTGAAGGAAAAATACTAGACTTGGTCAGGAAAATAATTTACTGCCTTTTTTTTAAAATCCTGGCTTGGTGGTTAATAATAATGATGATAAATAATTTAATAACAATAATAAATAAATAAATAAATAATACGTATGCTGGTAATTAGAGAAATAAATGTTTGTTTTTGGTGTTGATTTTCTTGGGTTAAATTCACCATCCTCATTTTCTGTTGAAATGTTGCCTGCAGCTTGTCCTCTTTTCGAATTTGAGGTCGATATTTTCGTGTTGTGTTGGTATAAAATATGGATGGGGGGCAATTTGTGGTGACTGAATATGGTGACTAACAAATATAGAAGCTGCTTATGGTTGAACCAGCTAGATGACCTTTTTATTGGTCTCCCTTAATAAAGAGGTTTCTTACCCGAAATAGCGTTTTGGAATGCTGCTTGAAGGTTACATAAATCTGCTCAGAGGCTTGTTTCTTTTGTTCACTAGCTTTGCATCATTTTCTGGTGTATGCTGACGCAGAAATCGATTTCTTCTATCGTCCATTAATTATTTTTGGGGTATATTTGGATTAATGACTAACTTTCTATATGCGTTAATCTGCTGTTGTTATTCCTATCTGTCTGCGCATTTTCGGCCTTTATAACAATATGTACTTGTATTTTGCTTGTCTTATGCAGTGTTGCAATCTGAGATGGATTTTTCCGAGTCCACAAAAGTTGTGTACAATAGGATCCAGAAGATAGAGCCTGAAAATGTGTCCAAGATTATCGGGTATCTTCTGCTGCAAGATCATGGTGAGCGTGACATGATCCGACTGGCTTTCAGCCCTGATAATTTGATCCAGTCTTTGATTAACAAAGCGAAAGCTGAGCTCGGGTTATGCAAACTGGCAGTGTCTGCTTCAATCTCACCTCAGGTGAACCAAGTTCCTGTTTCCGACTTACCTTTACAATTCACTCCATACAGTCCACGACCGGTTTCATCTCCCACAACCATCGGAGCAGCAAATCCATATAGGGAACTGTCTGGTGATCAGCAACCACTGCAAGCCATAGAGTTTGTTCCACCAGGGTACTCAGATTCAGCGATTGAAGATTATCGCCTCCAAAATCAAATGCAGTTTCTGCCCGAGTTTTCAAGCAATTACTGTTATCATGAACCTGCATTGAGTGTGAGAACCAGTCGAAGGTCTCCAAGCTTGCCTGAATTTCCCCTTAAGGTATGCCATTATTTCAATAAGGGGTTCTGTAAGCATGGAAGCAACTGCAGGTACTTCCATGGCCATCCCATGCCAGAAAGCTTTTCACAGTTTTGCAGCCAAAACTCAAATGAGCTTTCAAACGATGATCACGTTGTCTCCCCTGGCTCCCTTGAAAAGCTAGAGATTGAAATAATTGAGCTTTTGAAATCTAGAAGAGGGTTCCCAATATCAATTGCCTCTTTGCCGATGATGTACTATGAGAAATATGGGAGAACTCTTCAGGCCGAGGGATACCTCACTGAGAGCCAGAGACATGGTAAAGCTGGCTACAGCCTGACAAAGCTTCTTGCTCGATTGAAGAACAGCATTCGCCTTATTGACAGGTAACTCTTTGTTAATTGCTAAAGTTTTTTCTCACATCATTTTTTTTGCTTGCTAGAAGTGCTTGACTCGAGTGGTTGTGCAGGCCTCACGGACAGCACTCAGTTATATTGGCAGAAGATATCCCAAAATACTTAGAGTATGCTGGTGAGAAAACAGAACCTGGTGGGATTATTGCTGGTTCTCGACAGATATATCTGACCTTTCCAGCCGAGAGTAATTTCACGGAGCAAGATGTTTCCAACTACTTCAAGTAAGGACACCAAAGAAATTTCCATTTCAATTTCTTAACTGTTCATTTGAATTTGCTTATACTTTGAATATTGGTGGACAAACTTCTGGTTGATTTTTAAGTTTATCTGTATTTTGTAGCAAATATGGGCCAGTTCAAGATGTACGCATCCCGTGTCAACAGAAGAGGATGTTTGGTTTTGTCACCTTTGTTTATGCAGAGACGGTGAGGCATATTTTGTCAAAAGGGAATCCTCATTTTGTATGCGGGGCTCGTGTGCTGGTGAAACCTTACAGGGAAAAGTCTAGGCTTGTTGACAGGTAAAACATTTTTATTCGTTCAAAGTCAAAGTGATTGTCATTTTTGCTGTGCTTAGTTATATTTTACTCAAACCAAAGTGGTTATTTTCGTCTGTCCTTAGAAACCAATGAACATCTCTGAGCCTTATTTCTGCTTGTAGTTACAATTATGTTTATGTAAGTCTTGATGTTGTTATGGTCTGCATTGAACTTAGCCTCTGATTTTGTTCTGTTTTTCCTCAATAGCATGACTTATGCATCGTATTGTATAAGCGTTGTATAAGACGCTTCCTCATATACATTTTTTTACAGGTGGGAACCGGGTGCTACTTGTAGTTGGTTTCCATTAAGTGTGTCTGAACTTTTCCAGCAGAGTTTCTCTTACTTATGAATTACTTACCAGCATTCTTAGCTTTCAAACTTATCTATACACCTATCGCTTCATTTCTCTCCTAACTAAAAGCAAATATAGCTTTTGTTCTCTAAAAGCAGAAATTATGTCCACGAAAATTAGTTAAGACTTATTCATACCCTTAATTTCTTGTAATAGTCAACATTGTAGGTTTGGCCAGCTGGCACTTCTCCCTCGAAGAAAGTTGAAACTGCTTGCCTCCATTTTATACTAATCTGCTTTCGAAAATTGTTTTTCGTTTTCTTTTTCCCCTCAATTGCAGCCTAGCTTTTAATGCTTTATTAACGGTTTCTGAAGTATCTGCTTATGTGTTCCATGTCTTCTCCCCTATGGTTTTCTACTAATGTTTAAACTTCTGAAGTTTATGTCACATGTGCAGGAAGTTTTCGGAGAAGATGCAGCACTCCACGTGCTACAATTCACATTTTATGGATGGAGATTCAGAGCTTCACCCAAGTAAGCAAATTCTTCAGATAAATGCAGTAAGTGTCTATTTTAACCTTTTTGGTTTTTGAAAGCACGTCTTAACTAATAGAATCTATGGTGTGCTTAATATAGTGCCCAGAGTTTGTGATAGCGCAAGATTTCTAAGGAAGCAGTTCATAGAGGAAAATGAGCAAGCACTCGAACTTGAGAGAAGGCGCCTCTCGGAGATGCATTTAGCAGCTAAGCCCTTATCCCATCATTTCTATTATGGCTACTCGATGGATGAGCTTAAGCATCCAGAAGGTATACTAAATGCAACTTTTCAATTCATGATTTGTCTTTGCCTAGCTTATTTCTTGGTTTTTTTCGCCCATTTTCGAGCTAATATTCTTCCGGGATATGTCACTGTAGCCCATGCAGAGCAAGTGGAATTCCCATCCTCAAAGGAATTTAATTATTTTCTGGATGTTTTGAATAATGGTTCCACCAGTGAGGACAAAATCAGGCACATTAATACTAATTACAGTGGTCAGGATAGGTATACACACCATTGCTTGTTCACGTTGAACTTGTAATACTTTAACCAATTTCTTTTTCATCTCGGTTATTTTCTTAACATTCTCTTCTTTGTTTACGCTTGCCATGCAGCGGTCAAGGAATTAACCTTCCAGAGAGCCCATTCGCGACTCAAATGGCGAGTGGCATATCAACAGTTATATAGGGGATTCAAACAAACAGTAAATTATAGAGAGGTAGAGCACCGGATTCCTAGACTAAGACTAATTCGTGGTTTCGATACAGCAGGAGAGGCCTTCATATTCTTCTATTTTCATTATACTTTTACCTCAATTTCATCGGTCCGTCAGCTAAGTAGAGAGAGAGTTCATACCAACTGAAGAAGAAGAGAGAGACACAGTAGACAAGTTATGTTCTTCCCCAATGTTACACCGGGCGAAGGAGATCGCAGAGAAGAAAAGACATAAAAGCTAATATGTGACAGGTTTTTTAAGCCTTTTTTTTTCTTTTTCTTCTTTGTTTTAATATAATCACAGAGGATGCAGCAAGGAAGAGATGGGTTTTTAGAAGTGACTGAGATATAGTTTGGTTTAGTTGAAGAAGAAGAAGAAGAAAGTAAGTAGTAGTAAAAATATGCAGGTGTGTGCAGAGTAAAGAAGAAAAGGTGTAGAGATCTCTGCGACATAAACAAATTCTAATAATTTATACAAAGTTTCTATTTACCTTAGTAAATATGTTTCAAAATTCCATGCACTATATGGATGATGAGATTTATACATCTAGAATTTTTCTACAGTGCTGTTAACCGCACTTTTAAAATGCGGATATGTTGTCAATATTGTTGATACTTCGACCATACAAGATGGTTAACCGCACTATAGAAAAACTATACTTAGCGTTGATATTATGATACTTTATTTTATTTTGGACTGAAGGGTAGGCCATATTTTGGTCCACCAACCTTGTATTCATAATTCATTCTCTTCCCATGATTAGGGGAATCAAAAGGTGGCATAATTAAATTATGGTAATTATGCTTAGTGGTTCTTGCATCATTTTGTTTTTCCTGCAATTAGTTTAACTTTTCTTCAGAATAAACATCTTTGTCTTGGTGTAGTTGTTATAAAGCAATGGAATTTATTGGTAGATTAAGCTTTTGTTAATGATCATTATTTTAATGAGTGATTAGGGTTTTGAAATTGCATGTCCTAAAAGTTGAGGGGATGTGATAGGAGGATTTTGAGGCTGGTGGTTGATAAATATGCAATGGCACCTTTCTCTTTCTTTCTGGCTTGAAGACAGAAATGGGACCTGGTTTTGATTTGTTTGATATTTGTAGGACCCTGTAATTATATGACCCTTCAATGTTAAGCTAGGGCACCAAAAGATATTGAGCTGTAAATTTGATATTTTATGTGAAGTCATGTAATATACAGCTAATCTTCATGAATCTCTAGTCCAAAATTGCTTAAAAATCCCAAGTGAAACAAAATTTCAAGGTTGTGAAAAGCTGTGTAGTTGTAACTTGCAAGTGATACTACAGGCTTATCACCTCCTTTTTCACACAGAAAAAGATCGATTTTCTATGGTGCTTCGGAGTATTAGATACTTCAGACTTTTTAGTTGTTAGATCTTTGGTCAGAAACACAAAAGTCAATATCTAATGGTTAAAAAGCTTGGAGTATCTTATAATTTAGAGCACTCTAGAATGGGTAACTTCTAAAATCGAATTTTCCTCGACAAGGCGCATGTAACTCAAATGGAGTGTTCACCGTTGCAATTGAGGTTGCGTTCTGTTCCCAAATGCCCCTTCCACAAATATTCCTCGGTCACGAAATCAGTCGCTCTTTTCATGTGGTACTTGTCATGCGATGCCTACCCTAGAAAAACGAGGATATAGCACAGTTACAAGACAGATTCTCTCGACAACAAAGATGGTGCTGCCTTGGCACATTAAATTCAAAGGTGGTCCATGATGTAAGCCCAAGACAAATTAGGTTTTTTAGGTGGCACTGATTATTTTGTCACATGATTGTGCTTGCTTGTTGGGAAACATTTACATTGAAACTATCGGATTGGTGAAACAGAGAATTTGTTACTCAACAAGAAAGCAGTCACGGCACTTCGTCTCCGCTGTTTACTGTCTACGGATTCTGCTCTGTTTCTCGTCTTGTACTTGGTTCTTCTTCCAAAGCTTTCTGTCAATTGGGACAACCGAGCAGAAAATTGTGCACACCGATGGTCCAACGTTTAACCTAAAAAAACATAAGGGTCTTGATCTTGTTTTTTACTCAACGGGCGGAATGATTCGAAATTAGATTCTCTTTTAATATCGAGAAGAGAAGTTAACGTGTTTGAACATACATCCATGGATATAAAATTTGTCAATCTGCGCAACAAATCTTTTTAATTTTCACAACATTGAAAAAACAGGAAAACTACTGCTAGAGTAGAAATTAGGAAGTGGGGGTTTTTTCTAATGTACTTTCATGCAACGGGGGTGTCAGTGTTTGAAAATTGTAATAAACGATAAAGCGTGATTAACTTGAAATACTGTCACGATACTCTTTATCATAAATGGTTTTGTACCGCTGAAGTGGCACAATCAGTACATTGCTATACATCATACATCATTAGGCAATTACTTGGTCCTTGGGCAACTTTGAAATTCAACAAAGGCGCAGTCGGATCTATTTGAGAAGATGAAAGTGTTGATCATAAATAGTGAATCTGAAAACATAAGTTGTACAGGGATCCATAGAAGTTGAAGTTCTTAGAATAGCAAGCTACCCCAAGCAGCGATGAAAGCAAAGCCACCGAAAGGAGCCAATGTCGAGTACTTTCTATCCTCAAGGAATGCCACAGTATAACACCTGCAAAATCACATTATTTCAATCAGTATTAACTTCTGAGAATGAGAATACAGTGCAAGCACTGCCATGAATATTGTTTCCTCGGAGAAAAGCAACCGGAAAAAGTCCCCTGGAAAGATGCATAGACTCCGCACTCAAGGCAGAACCCTCAACGTGCAGTTTGCCAAATGCCAAGCCTTGAGCGACTAGCAAACGAGGATTTCTTGAGTCCAGAAACGAAATATTGACACCCTGACCCTACAAATCGCTACCATTGCAATAAGCACGTACGTAATGTCATTGTGCCAATTAACCGCTTGATACATTTTTCCATCCAGAACCCCCATTACTCATAGAGTATAGGATTATGCCATGCCGACAAACAAAAACGATTCTCACTCTTGCATATATCATACATAAAGATGTCCCTCTCTGGAAAAGTAAAATACATAAAGCCAACCGCATTTGTAGTTATATTAACCGTAGGCTAGTTCTGTGACTTCATTTGCATCCTAACAAATAACAAGGCAAGTGATTTTACTCGAATTTCAGATTCAACTAGCTTCATTTAGCAAAGAAACTTTGAAATGCGAATGAATCTTTTAACACGATAAACATAGTGTTTCAGTATAAACTTAACCAAGCAATTAGATAAAAAAAAAGAAGAAGTGCAGAGGCATGGAACTTACGTCCCGGAGAATGCGAGTATTCCAGTAGTCAACAGGCCTCCAAACTGCAAAACAAAGATGAAATTAGCATATGTACTCACATACGAATTCGCAGACGAGCAACTGATTAACAAACATCACAAAACTTGAAATTGAGCAATCACCACACATGCCCGAATGTTAAGATTCAGACCCGCAGATGATGGTTTGAATTCAACTCAAAGTAAATTGATAAAGTTCTAAACTTTTTAACTCACAATGGTGGGGCGTTTCGTGATGGGGGCAGCAAGGAGAGCTGCTGTGTGAACCAAATGGTACAGAGACGCCGTCTGCCAAACCTAACCCATTATTTGCAACACAATCAAATCCCAGAAAATTCAAAAACTGAACATAAAACCATGAAAAATATGAGTTAAAATCAAATGGGAAATAGAGTATGAACCTCTTTGTAAGTTGGGTTTTGGGGTTTGAAGCCATGGGCGCCATATGTGCCCAACCCCAGTGCTGCCATTCCTGTTTTCATAAAATTCACAAATTGGGTTTTCTCAGATTTGATAGAAATAACAAAAAGGAGATTGAATTTATACAAATTAAGGGTTTATATATATATATATATACATGCGAATAAATATTGCGATTTCATGGAGACTGTGGATCCCAAAAAACAGCAAAGATTAAAACTTTTCGAGTGTGGGATAGTAAAAGCGTAAATTAGAAATACCAGAGAGCGCGGCTACTTTATGCCACAGCTGAGGATCCATTGTTGTTTCTTCTCTTGCTTCTGTTTCAGTGCCTCTCTCACTTTCTCGTGTATGGGGATTGGCGGTGGTTCTGGAAACTGGAAAGAGGTTTGCCAGTAAGAGTCCCTGTTCCTAAACGGCGTCGTATTTAACTTTTTGTCCTTTTAGTTATTGAAATTTGATGATCAGAAAAGGTAATGATTTTCGAGCTCTCGTTTTTTTATTCCTTCTTAAGCTCCTTCACTTATTTCCTTCCTAAGCCCCTTCACTTATTATTTCTATCTCGTAACTTTATTTAATCAATCTGATGACGAGAAAAATAGAGATGAAATCAATACAGAAAAACTCGAGTGACAAAATCAACTCCCCTGGAACACTTGGATGAGTGCGGGACATCTTTTGATCTAAAGCTTCACCCTCTCTCGCCACTTGAGCTAACTCTGAGCGCTCGAAAACAAACAAAATTTAAAGTTTGTTATCGACATGCTAATTTTTTCTCCGACTATATGGTCGGAAAAGCGAAAACAACGAAGCAACCGTCATCCCAGACCGAGATTTGCCAGCCTTGTCATCCTGCAAACTGAAAGAGCACTACAAGGAGCTCAGTCCAGAGTGGAAACCCTATCAGCAATATTGTTTAAGCGTTCAAAAATATAAACACAGAAAATATGATAAGATAAATGCAACAGATTGGCAAGAAAATTCAGATTAAAAGTAAAAAATTGCACCAATTAAATAACTGTTGATTTCCCAATCTGTCCTGAATAAGGTGTTACAACTCTCCTGGATAAGTCACAACTATGAGGGTAATTATGTAAAACAAAGCAGTCATTAGACTCTGAAACTGTTGTCACAAGTTTTACTGGGTAAAACATAGCACCCCGTAAAATCATTTGGGGTTTATGTTTCTCTGGCCACTTGCCAAAGGGTGACATATTTGTACAGTTAAAACCTACATGTTGTCTAAAGAATGCTAGAACGTAACAACTCCCGAGCAACTCTTGCTTCCCTGCTTTTAGCATGTCGCGCTTAAGCCTCAGGTTCCACTGCAGCGTGAAGAAGCTCGTCGGGAGTTGCAGCTGGATCAAGATCCCAGCACTTACCCGGCAGCTTACTCTGTTCTCCCATGAGTAGCCACGATGGCACCTGGTGCGAGAAGCGTAGCATCTCTCTTTTTGGAATCCATTGAATGGCTGCTTTGTCTGTATTGCTTTGGTATACTGTCTTGAATCCAGACAGTTTCACAAGGGGGGATACACAGACACCAAGATCTTCGGAGTAATCATCAAGAACTTCCACCATTACGTACTGGTGCCTCACTTCACCTGGAGTTGATCTGTCCCAATTTTTTGACCAGTTTCGATACATAGCCCAAATGTCTCCGCTTCTGGGGTATATCCGAACACAGCCTCCTCTGCCTGCTTTCTCCCGGCTCAAAACATGAGAGAAAATGTTAACTTGCTCAATGACATCAAGATTCCGTGCCCTAAAATTTCCACAGGATTTGGTAAACCCACAATCTAGCCAGTTCACGAACCCGAATTCACTATCAGTTTTAGAGTTCAAGTAAGTAATGACCAACTTGAATGGTTTTACAGAAACCACTTCACGAATCAGACAGTACAGGCGAGGCATACCATCTTCTTCATCATACAAAGCCCAAATTTGCTTTGGCTTGAAAGATTCTTCTGACCTATCTTTATCAAAATCATGGAAGTCGGGGTCAGGGACAGTTATGCAGAGAGGCTCAGTATTCTTTATCTCTAATTTATGTGCTTGTGCAACTTCTGGTTGACGCACTTCAGCCTCTCTTTTTGTGTTCTTTACAGCAGCAGCAGCAGCTGCCGCTTCTGATGCCAACTTAAACTCGTCTAATTTCTTCAAAATTTCAGTTCTTGCCTTTTCAAGCAATAACTTCTTAGTATCAAAAGCCGGTGCCATGGAGCAACGTCTAATTGGAAGTTCCCCTGAACTAGGAATTTTCTGATCATTTCCAATGCTCCCATTTCCATTGGCTAGTTTTGCTTCTAAAGCAGATTTTGATACTTTTTCGTCGAGCCCATTTCTAAAACTCGCTCCCACAGTAAGCTTCCTTTTCTTATCCCGTCCATTGCTCTTAGATTCAGGCGGCTCATTAAAGCTAGCAGGCACGTTCAGCTCCACTTTAGCCACAGCAGTTGTAACGAAACGTTTTCCATTCACTCTTGATTTCACCTTCTCTCTAGCTTTCTTAACATTTCCATTTGACTGATAAACAGTACCAGGGGATATAGCTGATGACCCATGAGGAGCTGCAACACCAGCAGAGGTTCCAGAATATGAGTTCCACTGAAACGACATGTTTGAAGTATATTCATACCCATGTCCAGAATGCAAACTTGAGACCCCGTTTCCTGGGAAAAAGGTGCCATTGCTTGGAACATACGTAACCCCATCAAATCCATGATTCGCATACCCATTGCTAGGCATATACGACCAAGGAGAAGGAGTATAAGGAAAAGAACCATTTGCTGGGGCTGCCCCAGATTCCACAGCAATGAAAATACCTCGGCAGTTTTTACATGAAAGTCTTTTGTTCACATACTTACGGAGATACTCATACTGAACCTTGCAAGAAGTGCAGACGGTCCAGAAAGTGTCAAGCCTACCAAGAGATGCTGATGAACTGGAACAATTGTTGAAACCTGGAACCCCACCAGCGTGAACTGAAGACAAATTGGGCTGATTAACTGCGGCTGCCAAGTGTTTATTTCTCTGAAGATCATACAATCTTTTCTTAGCAGTGTCGGACAACACAGTAACTGCTTCAGAAACAAGTTTGAAAGCCCCATCAGCTCCCACACATTTGTTCTTATCAGGGTGGAGCAAAACAGCCATCTTTTTGTACTGCTTCTTCACTGCATATTTACTTGCAGAAGGCTTCAGTCCAAGAATTTTATAATGATCCATTTCACCATAATATTTTGCCTCAGACGCAACATAAACATCAAATGTGGCCAGCATATGAGATATGCCCTCCAGTTCCGGGTACAGTGATTTAGCTTTTACTGCATAAGTGATGGCACCTGCAAAATCTTTCTCAAAAAATCGCTTCTCAGCGATCTCTTTCGCTTTAAGAGCCTCCTCCATGTTAACTTCCATGTAGGAGTAGAGATCACTTGAAAACCAAAAATCTCGAAACAAAATCTACAACCAACCCAATGTGCTTAACTGTAGAAATAGCTGAATTCTCATATGTAACCACATTTTCATTTCTGCAAAAGATAAAATCAAGAATCTTTATGAGTATCAAACTTCAATTTTCTACTTAGCACTGTGACTGGCTAAGCCATTCAAATTTCTCTAATTAAGACATTAATACCCATAAATGCCGAAATCATTTACCAGGCTAAAACAAAATTCAATTTCAAATCTCAACCCAGAAGCAATGCTAATCAATTCAAAATTAATCCAATCACCAAAACGGCTTATAATTATCAGATTAACCCTATTTTACAGCGAAAAATTACGATCCATGCAACATAAATGCGAAGAAAATCGAGTTTAATTTTCCATCATTTTCCTCAGGTTTTTCTTGGCAACCAAACACCCTAAACCAGCTATCAAAACAAAAGAATCTAGCACTTCATACCCACTAACAAGCATGCAAATCATCTCAATTTTCCAAATCAAGCCCCAAATTCCACTAAATTCCACAGCTTCACAACTATGCACAGAGATCGAAAACCAAAATCTAAAATCCAAAATATTATTAACCCAGATTAAAAATTCAGCACGAAACCAAAGTAAAAAGTAAAAAAAATTGACTCACTGAAACTCGAGCCGAATGAAGGTGAAGAAGAAAACCCAGATCGCCACGTGTGCTTGGGAGCTCGAGCAAAATCAATCAAGCTCAGCTAATTGCAAATCTCACTGTATCTAAAGCACAAATCACTGAGAGAGAAACTCATTTTTAACAACCCCAGAGTGGAAAGAAGGTTTACCAAACGGTAAAGTTTCTATTTTTAGGGTTTTTGCTGCGAAATCGGGTGGTTGGGTCGGCGGATTTGGTGCTGGCGATGGCCGAGTGCGGCGATCGACGGCGTGGAATTGGCGATTCCGTCGATATAGGTGTCGGAGATTTGGACAGGATTTATTTTTTGGTAAAAAGTTGGTTTGAATTTTTTTTTTTAATTTTCAGTGGGAGTAAACAGTGTGTTAATAGTATTTAATGGTGAGGGTTGCTATTCTGCGCTGCCATGTGTTAACGGCGTTACTTTTTTTCCGTTTGGATTAGGGGAGTGTTTGGTAGTGGGCAGAAGAAGTGGACTTGGATTAAGCTAATTGTTTAATCAATTTATTTGGCTGAGATTTGGTAAATAGCTTCATTTGATTATTACTAATTAATATGCTAAGGATATCATGTTTTTAGATCATATTTTGTATCACAGATTTTGACGTTAAAATTCAATTTTTATTTTATGATTTAATGAAAAAATTCAACATCAATCGTCTCATCGTGTAGTCTATAAATAGTATAACTTAAGTAGTTGGATTTTCTAGAATTATGAATAATCTTACAACAATCATATATGAAAAGGGAATTGTTATTGACACTCCAAAAATATAATTGTGCACTCCAAAATTTCTATATTTAGTAAGAAAAATACTTTTATAAGAAGTCCACAATTAGATTTTTGGAGTGTCAATAATATTTCTTTGAAATTGTGCAAAATTATCTAATTTATGTAGCCATTGGGCTTTCCATTTCCGAAGCCTTATTGGGCTTTTATCTGGATCTACTTTGTAGTTCTTTCCTTACCCTTGTTGTTATAATTACTTTTAATAATTACTTTTAATTCAAATCACTGAGCACCGAGTATTGTTTTTGACCCCGAATGACATGTTTACTTAAATGAAAATTTTAAGTATTTTTCATCACTCTAATAATTTATAAAGATAAGTGTTAAGAAGATTATCAAAAGTGTAACTTTTTATATACTTTTTGTCACCTTATGTTTATGGCATAATATTTTATTAGATTGACGCATAAATTGACGTTAAAATGTAAGGTGACAGAGAGAGTCCATGAAAAGCCATTCTTTGAGAGTCTCCTTAGCACTTCTCTTATGTTATTTATGTAGCTATCCGAGTTTTCCTTTTTCGAAGCCCTATTCAGTTTTTTCGACTTGCTTTCTAGTTATTTTTCCTTGGTTTCAAAGCCTTGTCTTATTCTGATTCTTGACTACCTTGCATTTACTACAAC